GTTATTTTTACTTCTTATGATACGTCTTTCCTATCTTACTGTTTTGTTTGTTTGTTTGTTTGTTTGTTAATTATTATTGGTGTATGCTCTGTGTCATGTTACTCACCATGTCCATGTCCATGTCCCAGCAGCTGTTGGTGCTGCTCCGGGAAGTCACGTGTCAAAGTTGCTGCAATTTTACAGGCTGTTTCAAGTCGTCAACTTATAAGTGTAAAAAGGTGAATCTTTGTTCTAATTTTTCCTGGGGTTCTGGGCTGGGATTGTGGGCTGCCTGGGGCAGGTTTTTTTTTTGTTTTGTTATGTTGCTGTGTACAATTAAGCGATGAATTAATTAATTGTTAATCATCATTACACTTCTAATGGGCACTTTCCGTAATGCTAAATGCATTGTACATGGAATATTATCGATTGATTTTTGTCTCATTTTTAAATGCAATATTATGAATCATAAATAAGAATGGTCTTATTCTAGTATTCTCTATCCAATTTTAGTTCGCATGCTTTAATTTGAGTTTTCATTTACTAATTCATACTTCTTAATTTTTTAATTATTATTTGTTTGTTTAGTATCTTGAACTTTATCTACTATAGTTTTATTTCTAATTTTTTATCATCTTTTTGTTTTGTTATTGAAAACCATAGTGTATCTCTTTGTCAGTTTACACTTTTCCGGAAATCCCAATGACGAAGTATGGAGGAAATTGTCGAAGATGTAACTTAGCAAATATAGTTGAAGATTTACACAACATTTAAGAGTCTGTAATGACTCTCTTTCTAGCTAGTATACTCGTAAAATAACAGTAAAACTTACTAAATATATATAAGAGAATATATACATATAAACGAGGATAAAATTATGGGCCCATATTTAATTTTCTTTATACACAACTTTACACAATATAATAAAGTCTCAAAATAGTAACTCGACAATTTTGCCCAACCCTTCCGCTACGTGATGTTCCAAGTGACCACATCTCACATGTTTCTTGCAAAAACATTGAAAACAACGGGGTGAGCACTAAGTACTCAGTAAGTAAACCCGCTATGCTACCCTTCTCTCTCCATTGTTTAAATTCTGAATTTTTTTCCTTACTTCACATTTCCTCATTCTTCTCTATTCTTTCTCTACTCTTACTCTGTTTTTCTCTCTGTTCTTTCTCTATTCTAATTTCCCACTACTTAGATAATGGACAATGATATTAGGCATATATATAATGCAATTGCACAAATGTATAAAATATGCATTTTTTTTTTATATTTTTCTTATTCTGTTTTCTGTTTCTTTTCTCTGTATTTCTTTCTTTGCTTCCTTTTCTAGTCTTTCTTTCTATTCTTTCTCATTCTTTTTCTTTTCTTTCTCATTCTTTTCTTTTCTTTCTTATTCTTTTCTTTTCTTTTCTTTTCTTTTCTTATTCTTTTGCCAATCGGACTCGGTTGATGCATGGATTTGGAACCTTGACCATGTGAGTGTATTTTTCTTTCTTGGGTATAGCCCTCATCCACATGCACTCTTACGGACTATACCAATTCTTCTTTCTTATTCTTAGGCCGCTCACTAAAAGCGGCGTGTATGTAGGAAAAATTCTTCTTGTCACTCACAGGTTCCCCATCGCAACAACATTTTCTTCTTTTTATCTTTTTACACTTCTTTAAATAAAATTCAGTTTTGAACTTCTTTAATATTCACATTTGTTTCTATTTACTCTTTAACATTCTCTAGGGTCTGCTTAGGAGTTTTTTTTTTCACTGGTTTTGGGGGGTTTTTAATTAGACTGGTTTTGAGGTGTTTAAAAACCATTACTTGCCAGATTTTTAATAGGCTGCTTTTGACTGGTTTAAAAACCCCCCAAAACTAGTGTAATGTATTTTTGAGAGGTTTATAAAGCACACCAAATCGGGGTGTTTTGATTGGTTTAAAAAATTTATCTTAAAAAAACCCTTTTCCACTAATAATCCCTTTGCTGCACACAAATCTCTTGCTGGAATGTTTGTAGAAATGCTTTTAGGGGAATGCGTTTTTTCTTGTTTGCACTTGAAGGATAAATGCACCTAAAATTTTAAACCAGAATTGAATTCCTGCTTCTCCAAGCCATTACAGCAGTAGATGCCTCTAACCCTACATGAAACATTAGCTTCACAATCTCTATTGTTCAACACCAATGCATTAAAATTAACTTATTAACATCAACCGAAATACAAGTTAAAAGGATCTAGTACTAATCTCAATGTGTCTCTAAATATTAGAAACAACTATCAAAATCTTTCATCCGAACTATTGTAGCTGCATAAATAAAAAAGATTTCAAAAGTAATATGAAGGTGTGCGTAACCCAAACCTATAGAGTCATTCATTATGTCAAGTTAGGGCTTTAAACACCACCTATATCATTTTATGGAGTTGGCTAGGCACCAGAGCAATTGTAAGTAAAATGCGTGGTGAATTTGAGAGTCAACTCCTCCATTCTTATGATGGTAATGGAAATCAACGCAGCAAACTTCTATTCTTTGACACATATAGTAATGGACTAATTTGCATTTTAGCTTAAAAATCCTAGAAGCAAAAGGCGTTTAACCTTAACAAATAAAATAAAGCGAAAGATAGACAAATAATGTCCTCTTGTTTGATTGGAGAGAAAGAAAATAAAAACAAATAATGTAGGCATTATCTGTATTTATCAAAGTTAATTCATCAAAAGAGAGAGTGTTTTAACTTCATGGGCATATATGTAAATTTATTATTTAAAAAAACTGTCAGAACCATTGGAAAATAAACTCCCAAGCATAGGTTAGGTGTTTTAAAAACCGCTACTAAAAACCCCTCAGAACCGCTACGGTGGTTTATCCTTAAAACCGCTACGATGGTTTACTTTCATAACCGCTACCATAAAACTCCCAAGCAGACCCTTAGTGTTTTTTCATGCTCTTATTAGTATGTATGCATGTAGATGGTTTCATGCTTATATTTCTTCATAAATTCACATGTTTAGATGCAATAATGCAATATGAAATGCAAACATGTCATTCTCTACCATCTACAAACTTATCTCAACATAACACATAATCATATTCATACAAACATTTCTCTTTGACATCTCATCAAACAACTTATGTGCACAAAGCAACTCTAATTTGGCTACACTTCTATCTCTTTTCTAGGCCACCAAAAATTGGGAATAAAACCCTCCATATTTAACGCCAAACCTGTCCAAAATATACACTTCAAAATTTCCACTCCAATTCTTCCAAACTTCATCCAAACATTCATCAAACATCAAATACACCAACACAACTTCTCATGGATAAGTTATAATCATCATTCAACACCAAATCCATTAACAATTCTTCATATAAAACTTATATATGCATAAAAGAAATTCTCTACACAATATTACTTAAATCATACTTAGGGTAGGATTTACTTACCTTATATGTGAGCAATCCAACACTTTAAAAATCTTTTTTGATCCAACTCTCTTCCTCTTAAATCCTATGAACATAAATCATCAAGATTCAATACTTTAAAAATTAAAACTCACTTCTTGATGTAAGGATCTTATCTAATGATGTTTGAGATTGAAAATCCACTCAAAAGTACCTAAAATCTATGAATTTCCCTTGAAGAAGAATTAAAGAAATTGAGAGAATATGAAGGTGAAGGTGGCATGAAAATGGGTAAAGAGTGGCTAGGGTTTTACTCTTCAATCATTGATATAACATAATATTATATATAGTTTCTCATTTTGCCCTTGTACTTTCTTTAAAATTTCATCTATGTCCCTTAATCAATTACCATAATGCCCTCATTTTATTAACTTCTCCATATTATTCTATCTCTTTTCACTCTCCACTTTTTCAACTAATTTTGAGTGAAAACACCATTTTACCCGTAATGAAAATTTAAGGCATTTTCTTCACATTTTCTCAAAATAACTTTAACAAAAATCAACTAAGGGTATAAGGGCATAAGTTAAGTTACGTACCTTAATGTGGGCGTTACAGAGCCGTAACAGAAGCATCTTGAAAATTGCTTCTGCATTTTTTGTATATCTTCCCTGTAAGCAGTTTCTGTTTATTTGTAACTAAGGAAGAATTTCATTACAAATTATGTTCTTTTGTATGAATGATTCATAAAGAATATCAGCCACAATAAGCAATTTTATTCTGCCGCATTCTTTGCATATATTGACTTTGAAAATTTGCTAGCAAAATAGGGACAAAATGGTCATTTGTTGTGTCTATTTTTTACAAACTCATAAGGACAAACTGGTCATTTCACTAATTCATAATAATTTGATGGCATAATTGTAATTCACCATAATGATGTGGGTATTTACGTAATTGAATGAGTTGATTAATCATAAATTAATAAAAAATGCTAAAATATCAAACTTTCAAGGACATTCTAGTCTTTTTTACTATTGTTGTCCTTTAGCAAACAGAAATCACTAACAACGTATGACGAAAAGTGTTTATTTATCATTTTCAAATCTTTTAGATACCAATTTATCTTTAAAGCAAACTTTGGATAGGTGTAAGTCATTTCCCCTTATTTATTCAACATTTAGAGAGGGGGTGACATGACATCCACGGATCCATTTACTCTATTATAAGAGATGGGATTCCTTTATTATTTTATATTTATTTAATTTCAATATCATCATCATTATTCATTAATTAAATGGTTAAACACTTGTATTTAACTTAATTCATTAAGAAAGAGAAGTAAAAGAAACTTCAAACACAAATAATGTTATTTAATAGAATAAAATTTCTTTCTTTTTGGGTATATTGAAAAGCTCACGTTGTAAACAGAGGAGAGGAATCTGGCAAAGATTTTAACAATAACACCTCTAAAATGCCCAAATTATATTTAAAACAAAATTCCTGAATTAAGGATCAATTCTAGCCTCGACCAGCTTAATCTTGGAAAACAATTTATTTGAGATATTTAATAACTTATTAGTTAAACCATCTAATTTTTTCATAACTAACAAACAGATGAACACAGTAAGGGCAGCCAACTAATCATATTTTTAATTCATACAGATGCTCAACAAAAACCACCACACAAAAGTCAAATAAAGATTTCTAGAGTATTGATCTCTTTAACTCAAAACTCCACAATAATCTAAGTGCCCAACAAAATACAAAACCTTAAGAGAAAATTGGTGATTAAATAACCACTGAATTCTAATCAAAGAGTGAGAATCCCATGTCATCATCGCTCTCCTCCTTCTCTTCCTTCTTCTCCTCAGCAGGAGGAGCCTCAGCAGCAGCACTGCCTGCAGGGGCTGCGGCAGCAGCTCCACCACCTCCAATGAAAGCTCCACCACCAACAGCACCAACAACTACCTGTACCCAACCGAATTTATTTTACAGCAAAAACAAGAAGCAACAAGCAGAAATAAAAGGCATAATGGCAAGTTTGTAACCAGTATACAGATAAAAACAGAGTGCCCTTTAAAAAAACACAAAATAATTTAACAAAAAAGGGGAAAGCTAGCAACTGTCACCTCCTCATGTACGAGAAAACCTTCCCTACAACAGATGTTTCCAAACATCCAAGCATGAGGCAAGTGTATCTCACTCAAGTGACATGCCACTCCATCATTCGATGGTCGTACCAAAATCTGTTATATGGGAGATTTTTTCCTTGTGCACACGTCATGTTCTCATAATTCTTTTTACAAGTTATATTCCCATAAATAAAGACATAGCTTTGTCCCTTTCAATCATTCATCTTCATCATCAAGTTAATAAATCATCTAGCCGTGTTAGTTTCTTTGATTTGAACAGCCACACAAAACTTTGGCAATATACCCTTGGTAATCTAGATATCAGAATTTTATTTCTCAACTTGAAGGTTCTGGTCTCACAAAGGACAAAACAAGAAGCAAAACAAAATCATATCAGCTTAATTTGAAATGCAAACATGGAAATATGTGACTGCTTAAATCAACAACACTAGACTTCTCATTTTAAAAACAAACCAAAATACAAATCAAAATTTATTGCTCAAGTAAATCACAATTATTTGACTCAAAAACAAATCAACATCTTAACAAAACACAGGGAAATGATGTATAAAAATTCACAACCCATAAAACCATATCATATATAATATCAAAAATTATTATCTTTGGTAAATCAACCAAACCTAGTGAATCCAAAAACAACTAATCATTCGAAGAAATAAATCTATGATCACTTAATCAATATAGTCTCCTCTTTCTTTCAATGTTTTCTGTCTAACATCAAATCCAACCGGGTCAATGGTTAAGGCCTTTTACCACAGGCACAGTGGCTTTCACTACAGAATTACCAGCTTAATGTCTAAAGAAATAAAAACTATTGACTATTAAATCAATAAAATGTCTTCTTCCATCATAAAATTCAAACAATGTTTGATCCAAAAGAGGGGCCTTTGTTCCCCGAAAGTAGCAGGATTTTAGAAAAATTACAAAAATAGATTTAAAAAAAAAAAAAAGTGAAGCGAGTTAAGACCTGGAAAACGGCAGAAGTGGGAGTGACGAAAGAGAAAGAGGACTGAACTCCACCGGATGAATCAGCAGCGAGAGAAGTTTGGACCAACTTTCTCTGCAACTCATAAGTGGACCCAGCCGAGGCCTCTAAGTCACCGGAAACCTGCTTCCCGGACCACTCGCCGCCGTTGTTTCTGCAGACAAAAGTGAAGACTCCCATGGCGGCTGCTTGATTTGATTCTTCAAATGTACAGAGCTCAGCCTTTAGTGTAGAGAGGAACGGCTCGTCTGTAGGAGACGATTATTTATATATTTGATGGGTGCGGAACCCTAGTAAGGGTTTGAGCAGGAGGGCAAATAGGGAAATACGAAATTGTCCCCGGTGAACAGGGTCATATTTAAAGGAGTAATGCTACAGTTACCGAAGGTATTTACCGAATTTCTGTATCGAATAACGTAGCGAAATCTTGATGTTGATTCATTACAAGTTAATATTAATTAACGGTCAAGATTTTATTACGTCATTCGATGCACGAATTTGGTGTATAACTTTCGGTAACTCTATTATTTTCCTATTTAAAAATACCCCAAATGTATGAAAACAGCTACCCTCATTCCAAAAATTATTGCAAACTTCCACTTCACTGTATTTTTTTTAAAATAATTAGTGGGAATTGACCAGGGTTAAATGTGTAAAATCACAGATAATATAGTTAAAAAAAACTAGGTTAAATGTGAGAACATTTTATGAAATATTTAATTTTTCTAAAAAGTTATAAATCTATATATTTATATAATCCTAAGCATGGTCTACTTGATTGACATGTAGGAGTTTTAAAGTTCTAAAATTGTTGGATTTTAACATGTTGGAAGATTATTCGACACATGGTTGCATGTAATTGGTGATGAAATGAGATATGTACATTTGGTTGTATGTAATTGGTGATGATGTGAGATATGTTGATGTGTAAGATTTTTGGTTATGAATAATGTTATGTGCATTAACCCATACTAACCCAAGTACTAACTGACGTGGCAAACCTCTCTTATTGCCACGTCAGTTCTCCCAAAAAACTAAAAAAAAAAAAAAAAAAAAATCAAAATTTCAATTGTTAGTATTTGGATTAGTACAATTTGATTAGTACACATAACATTACTCTTAGGGTTGTGGCTTAAGCCCCACTCGAACCCAAACCTGAAATTATGTTGGGCGACTCTATTCCATTGATTTTTTTTTCTTGCTTGCGTCACATTTAATTTTTATAAGGGTAAATCAGTCATTTAGTTGAAGAGAAAGACTTAAAGTCTTAAAAAATGCTACACACCACACTCAAGGTATTAAATGACTTTGACTAGACACGAATAAGGAACAATCGTTCCTCATGAAAAAATGATCGCCCCTCTCTAAAGAACAATCATTCATTCCTTATGGAATGGTCATACATTATCAAGGTATAGTTATTTCATAAGGAGTGAATGATCGTTCCCTAGAGAGAAACAATCAGGGGCGGACCCACATGGGGTCACGTGAGGTCAAGTACCCCACTTGGATTTTTTTAAATATTTTCATTTTGCCCCCATAAAAAAACTAAATTACAAATTTTAGTAAATTAAATTAATTAAAAAATTTGACTTTCTTTAATAATATTTTTTCCCCAATCCTAATTTTTTCTCGTCCAGCGTGCCCCTCTCCATCTCTCAAACCCTATTTTTCTCTAATAATATATTGAAATTTATGCAATTATTTAATTTTGTGTTTAGCCTATTTATGATGAAAGATTTACTTAGCTTTACAAATGAACATTCTCAAGCACTACAAAAAAATAAAAAAAAATAAAGATATTGTAAATATTATGAATTTGGTTGAAGCGTATAAACAAGCTTTACAATTGATGAGGGATAATGGAAGGGAGAATTTACTTAGCAAAGTTTGTTCTTTTTGTGCCAAACATGACATTGATATTTTAAATATGGATGTCAAAAATTTTATTCAAGGGCGATTACAATGGAAGACTAAAGGTATCATAAACATGCATCATTACCGTATAATATTTTATAGTGTCCTAGATATACAACTTCAAGAGTTGAATAATCGTTTCAATGAGATAAATATTGAATTATTTATTTGTTTGGAAGGCTTATGTCCTAATGAATTTTTTGTTGTTTTTGATATGCAAAAATTGATGCGTCTTGCTGAACTTTATCCATAAGATTTTTCTAACTTATAATTCATAGCACTTGATTCTCAATTTGATATTTACATTTTGGATGTACGCTCTAATGTCAAATTTATGGAATTGAATGAGACTGGAGATCTTGCAAGAGTGATGGTTGAAACTAAGAAGGATAGAATGTTTTCATTAGTTTATCTGTTGATAAAATTAACATTGATTTTACCAGTTGCCACTGCTAGTCTAGAGAGAGCATTTTCAACAATAAATGTTGTGAAGAATCGTTTGCGAAATAGAATGAGAGATTAATGGTTGAATGATAGTTTAGTTTTATATATGGAAAACGATGTATTTGATAGTATTGATAATGAAGTCATTATACAATATTTTCAAAAGATGAAATCTGGTCAAGGACAATTATAAATGTATCAGTTAATGAGAATTTTATTAATACAAATATTTGTGTTTATCTTTATTTATATTTATGTTAATTGTTATTTTAACGTTTGACCCCCCTGAGTTTCATTCTTGGGTTCACCCTTGGAAACGGTCATTTCTTCTGTGAGGAATGTCTATTCCTTCATAAAGAACGATTGTTCTTTATGAATGAATGATCATTTCCCTATAAAAGAAAAAAGAAAAAAAAAAAAGATCATTGTTCTTTATGAATGAATGATCATTTCCCTATAAAAGAAAAAAAAAAAAAAATCATTTCTTAGGTGACGCATTACTCCAAAGTCTTAAACCACTATGAATTTTCAATCAATAAGTCAAGTTACTAATGTTTTAAATACTTGAAAGTACTTCCTTCAAACTAACGATGGTTACTAAAATTCTAACTTTGAAACAATATATTTTAAGCAAAGACAGTTGAATTAAAAGTGAATTGCCCTTTCTGTTTTTATATGTAGGAGCAAATTATCTATTTTGTTGTCTATTAAAATTAAGGAGGTCAATATTTAATATTTTGAACTGCAGAATTGGACATACTAAAGCCCAAACCCAAGGTGGCAATCAATTATCTTATTGAATAGGTGATATTTCTTAAACCCCATGATAGTCGATAGGGATGCTAATGTAAATGACCTTCAGAAAATTTAAAGACGTTCATCTGTTTGTTTTATTATTTTAGATATGATTTATAGGATTTTTGAAAAAGTAAGAGCTTATGAGGTAAGATTTGAAAATTAACAAAAATACCCCATAGGTTTGTTAATTTATTAAACACCCTTGTAATAAAACATTAAAAATTAACAAAAACACCTCCATCCACACATTAAATACCGACAGCTGGCCACCACCGTTGGAGGGTAGCCGGAGCCATCGTATTGGCACACGATCAGTTGGATCTGGCCGGTCTTGTGTCGATATGACCTTTTCCAATCAGATCCATTGTGAATCTAACCGAAAAAAGTCAGATCTATTGCTAGATTTGGTCGTTGATGGCCAGATCTGACCATATTTGGTCGTCAACGATGGCTAAAGATATAGTCGTCGTTGACGACTAGCTACGACCAAAGATCTGGTCGTCAACGGCCAAATCTTTGGCCTTAGATCTAATCTTTTCCGACTAGATCACAATAGATCTGGCTGGAAAAGGCTAGATTGGCGCACTACCAGCCAAATCTAGCCTGTAATGCACTATTATACTAGATTCCGGCCACCTACCGGTGGTGATGGTCGAAATCTGGCAAAGGTGGGTGGTGGGGGTGTCTTTGTCAATTGTTAAACTTTTTTTTAGGTGTTTAGTCAAATTAACAAACCTAGGGGGTTTAAAAATAATTAAATAAAATAAAATAGGATTTTCAGAATAAGAAAACAAATGTGTATTTTGGAAAAAATAGGAATATGATAGTGTAAAAATAGGGAAACAAACACACATTTTTGCCTTCCTATTTGCATTCTAGAAGGATTTACTTCATTTACTTGCGAAATTGTTTAATATGAAACACACTAATTATTATTGCAACGTATTAAATACCTTTACTAAAAGGTTTTTTCTATATTGTCCTGATCGTTATAAATAAGTTTTTTTATATATTTTTAAGGGTTTTTTTTTATATAATTATAAAAGAATATAATATTTTTTAATAACAAGTGAGTGTATTTAAAACTTAACGATTTCATAAGGTAAATAAAATGAACTCTTATGTATAATCTCATTTATCTATGCATAAAAACAATGATAGGATGTTTGTTATTTGAAAACGTAAAATATAACTTATGACACATAACATTTTTCTTGGTTAGTATTAAATTTTTAATAAAATTAATTCATTGTATAACATTTGTCTTTCTCAAATCCTTCTATAATTGTTGTTTCGAAGGAAGGGTTTCTCAATGGTTTAAACAATTGCAATTCGGTTTATATAAACAAAACTTTAAATTTGTAATGGTTTTTATATAATTTGTAAATTGTTAATGTTTAAAGTTTATTATCATCTGGAGTTGGATTTTTTTTGGAAAATAACTATTTAGTCCCTAAAGTAAGGTCTGGTAAAATTTTGGGTTTGGTATAATCAGAAAATGACACGGCAGTCCCGCCAGTTGAATTGCTAGTTTGCCACTACCAACAATTAGACTGTCGTAGGGCTGTTCAACGAACTGAGCCGCTCGCGAGTCGGTTCGGTTCTTCTCAAGTCTGGCTCGGTTTGGCTAAGTTCGAGCCAGCTCGGCTCGGTTCGGTTCGATTCATCAGAGTATACGAGCCGAGTTCGAACATGCCTCGACTTACGAGCCAAATTAGGCTCGTCTGGTTCGCGAGCCGAGTTAGGCTCGAACTTGAAGGGCATATTAACGGAGTTTTTAGAGTAAGGGGGATTAACATAAAATTGTGCAAGGAAAATGTTTTAAGAAATGACAAACATTCCCCCGATTTTTAAGCCCTAAAAACACGATTAACCATTGTTTGCCATAAAACCAAAGAGGGGTGAGCAATTTCAAGTGTCTTTCATCATCTCCGGTAAGTGTAAGCCACCTTTGGTGTCTTTTGTGGTCGCCATCTTCTTCACCGTAGGACCGTAGTCTGCTTTGTGGGGTCTCATTCGAATCTCGTCGTCAAAAGACCCAAAGGCCAAAGTCCCAAACCCATCTGCTTCGTGGTCGTCTATCGTGCTGTGGGCTTG